TTTGTGACTTCTCTGTATTTATATTCTTGCCTATTTCTGATAGTCTATGTATTCCCTGTGCCAAGATTCTCAGGTGTGTCCCAATTCCCTCATTAAAGGCCCTAATAGTTTGGGGTTTCACCTCAAGGTATATGATCAACCTTGAGTTTATTCTTGTGCATGGGATGAGGTAAGGGTCTTACTTCATTTTTCTGCAGGTAGTTAACCATTTTTTCCAGCACCACTTCCCATTCAATATTTTGGGGGCCCTTCTATGATATGTCTTACTGACTTTCTTTTAGTGTCTATCCTGTGGGGAGTTTTTTGAGCTTGTTAGATGGATATCTTTTCATTTTCCTTGATATTAGGGACATTTTTTGCCTGCAAATATTCCTTCCTACATACATTATATGTATGGTAGATGTTTGATGTTAAGTATAAGTGTAATTTCATTAATTTCTGGAAGTTACATATGGCTAAAAACTGTGTACAGGTGCCAAGTTGGCAAATATTCACGAAACAGGTTTCTTTGATTACAACCGAAATCTTGCTGTCTATTACAATAACCACATCCACCCTGTTTCTATTGATTCAGTGCTGATACCTGCCCTCTACCACCAGGGGACCAATCAGCCCCATTGTGGGTAAATGTCGGCGTTCACTTAGGCCAGTTCCCACTGTTAATCCTGGTACACTTAAATAGCAATCATGGGAGTTTTCAGAGATGCTGGGGCCCACTTCGCAAACTTGTTCCTTATGGTTGTGGTAAAGGGTATGTCCTCAGGACACCCCTTTTTGGGGCTATGGGAATATCCTGATAGATTCATTCCAACATACCAATTTTCCTAAGCTTTTGGATGCCTTCTTCTACAGTGTACCAAGGTAGGTCAGGTACCTCAAGTTGGTCTAATCTAGGCCATCTGGCAGCCCATGCTTCATTTAACTAACTAAATTAGGAATTAGGTCCTCTCTTAACCTCTCTTGCTGAGCCACTGAAGGAAGAATCTGTGATTAGGGGTCCCATATCCAGAAACTCAGACTGGTCTAATGTTACATTCCTTGCACCAGTATCCCACACCCTTAGTAACCATTGCCAGGGATATTCCCCAGGCTTCTGCTTGTATGTATTTGAAAACTCCAGCAGATCTTTATGAGTCTAGCATGCGTCTTCCTGTGTAATCATCTCAACATCACCTTTAGGAGCTTTCTGAGCCTTAATTTTAGTGCAGGTCTAAAGGAAATAATGAGTGGTGAGGGTGTTCCTGGGTGCTCTCGGCAATATCTTGGAAGGCACCTTCCCCAGGCAATGCTACAGATGCAGCCCCACCTGGCATTTCAGCTTGAACAGTTTGGTTAATCTGCTCAGGTGTGTGTTGTTTTATTGATAGTGGATTAATCCCCTCAGCTGGGAGGGGTGGATCTATTGGCAGGGCTGGCTCAATCTTTTCCAGGAGCTCGATACCCTCCTCTTCTGGATCATCAGCCCATATGTTCCCTTCCCATGTTTCAGGGTCTCAACTTTTTCCTATCAATGCCCTTGCTTTAGTATCAGATGCTTCTCTAGACCTGCAATTCAGCTGACATGGTAATTCAGCCATTCGCATGATGAGACTCTGGACCTGGTTCTCAGCAATGTCAGCTCTATTACTAGAGAGAAGCCTCTCCTTTGTAGCACAAGCAGAAGATTTTAGGTCTGTTATTTGGCACTTGAGATGCGTTTCTGAGGTTCTGAGACCATCCCTCTCCTTAATCACACCTTCCACTCTAAGGAGGACCAGCCATCCTTCCTTCTCCCAGTCTGCACCTATGGCCTCCTGGGGAGCTCCTTACGATAATTTAACTGAAGAAAAGAAAAGTCATTCTTTGTTTACAGATGGCTCTGCACAATATGCAGGTGCCACTTGTAAGTGGACATCAGCAGCACTACAGCCCCTTTCTGGGATCTCCCTAAAGGACAGTGGTAAAGGGAAATCCTCCCAGTGGGCAGAGCTTCAAGCAGTGCACCTGGCCATTCAGTTTTCCTACAAGGGAAAATGGCCAGCTGTGAGACTGTATACTGATTCATGGGCTGTGGCTAATGGCTTGGCTGAATGGTCAGGGAACTGGGAGGAGCATGATTGGAAAATTGGTGACAAGAAGGTGTGGGGAAGAGGTATGTAGACAGATCTCTATGAATGGGCCAAGAAAGTAAAGATAATCCTGTCTCATGTGAATGCTCACCAAAGGATTACCTCTGAGGAGGAGGACTTTAACAATCAAGTGGATAAGATGACATGCGCTGTGGAGACTGGTCCTCTTCATTCCTCTGCCACTCCTGTTATCGCCCAATGGGCACATGAACAAAGTGGACATGGTGACAGGGATGGAGGTTATGCATGGGCACAACATGGACTTCCACTCACCAAGGCTGACTTGGCCACTGCCACTACTGAGTGCCCCATTTGCCAGCAGCAGAAACCAACATTAAGTCCAAGATATGGGACCATTCCTCAGGGAGATCAACTGGCAACCTGGTGGCAGGTTGATTACATAGGACCACTTCCGTCATGGAGGGGACAGCGTTTTGTTCTTACTGGAATAGACACCTACTGGGGATATGGATTTGATTTCCTTGCACACGATGCTTATGCCAAAGCTTCCATTCGTGGACTTACAGAATGCCTCATCCACCGGCATGACATCCCACACAGTATTGCTTCAGATCAAGGAACTCACTTCACAGCAAATGTAATGCGGCAATGGGCCCATTCCCATGGAATCCACTGGTCGTATCATGTTCCTCATCATCCTGCAGCTGCTGGCTTGATAGAATGATGGGATGGCCTCCCAAAGACACAATTACTGCACCAGATAGGTGGCAACAACTTGCTGGACTGGGGCAATGTTCTCCAGGAGGCTGTATACACTCTAAAGCAGCGGTCAATATATGGTGCTGTGTCTCCAATAGCCAGAATTCATGGGTCCAGGAACCAAGGGGTGGAAGCTGGAGTGGCACCACTCACTATTACTCCTAGTGATCCACTTGCAGCATTTTTGCTTCCTGTCCCAGCAACCCTGTGTTCCTCAGGCCTGGAGGTCCTGGTCCAGAAGGAAGGAACTCTCCCACCTGGAAACACAGCATGGATTCTACTGAACTGGCAGCTGAGAATGCCCCCTGGCCACTTTGGGCTTCTCATGCCTTTGGATCAACAGGTCAGGAAGAGTGTCACTGTATTGAGTGGTGTGGCTGATCCTGATTACCAAGGATAAATTGGACTGGTGTTACATAATGGAGGTAAAGAAGAATATGACTGAAATCCAGGAGATCCTGTAGGCCGACTCTTAGTGCTACCCTGCCCTGTGATTAAATTAATGGTAAATTACAGCAACCCAATCCTGATAGGACATCTAATGACCCAGACCCTTCAGGAATGAAGGTCTGGGTCACCCCACAGGGCAAAAAAACACAGCCAGCTGAGGTGCTTGCCTAGGGCAAAGGTAATACAGAATGGGTTGTAGAAGAAAGCAGTTCTACCAATAAGTTACAACCACATGATCAATTGCAAATGTGAGGTTTGTAATTGTCGGTTTATTTTCTTTATATGTGCTTAATGAATATCTTTCCTTTGTTCATGTATGATGTATCATATACAAAAGTGTGTTTTCATTTATATGTATGATAGATGTTTGATGTTAAGTTTAAGTGTGATTTCATTAATGTCTGGAAATTATATATGGCTAAAAATTGTGTACAAGTGCCAAGTTGGTAAGGGGTGGATTGTGATAGGTAAGTTTACTGTGCCAACCTGGCCAATGAACACATGTGGGATTAATTGAAGGGTGGAGAGATAAATGGCTCGGCGAGCCTTGCCTTTCTTATCTCTCGCTCTTTGATGATCGGACCAGTGTGCAGCTACCTTAGCTGGTTCTCTGCCTCAACTTGCAAGCTACACCACCTGTGGGACACCTACCCCATGGACTGTGTCACTGTAGTTTGAGGTTCCTTCAAGATCTGTTTCGCCACACTACTGGAGTATACGTCACTTGAGCTGAGGACTGTCGGACCCAGTCATCTGGCTGACTGTTGGTGACCTGCCTTGCTGTTTGCTGCTTGTAGCCGTGTTGCCTGAATTGCTCTACAGAGGACTCAGCTGTCTGCTTTCTTGACTTGCCCGGCAGCCCTCAAGACTTGCAGGACTGCCAGTGTATTAGCTGTCTCATGGAAGTGAGTTGCACTGAGCCATTTGTACTGCTCTATAGACTAATTAGCAGTTTATTTCATATGTTGTGTATATATATATGACTGCCAGTGTATTAGCTGTCTTGTAGAAGTGAGTTGCACTGAGCCATTTGTACTGCACTATAGACTAATTAGCTGTTTATTTCATATGTTGTGTATATATGTGTGTGTGTGTGTGTGTGTATACATATATCTATATATTCATAAGTGTCCTGGTATTGTTTTTCTTGAGAACCCTGTCTAACATATAATCTGATGCGTTATCTCAGTCTTAGGAGTTCCAGTAGATTTTTATATCTTAGGGATATAACCTGCTACCTACTTAGTGTTAGGGAAAATAGAAAGCTTTCCTTTACTATATAACTTTCCCTTCCTCTCTTTAGCTTCTTTCTTTGGGCTCCTGGTGGTGCAGCGTGTTGTGTGTTGGGTTACTAACCACAAGATTAGCAGTTCAAAACCACCAGTTGCTCCACAGGAGAAAAATTAGGCTTTCTACTCCCCCAAAGAGTGATAGTCTCAGAAACCCGCAGGAGAAGTTCTACCCTTTCCTACCTATAGGGTGGCTATCAGTCAGAATAGGCTTGATGGCAGTGAGAGACAGAATGGTATTAAACCTGTATGTGAATCTATGGACCTCGAAACCCATTTTCATCTCGTCAGCAGATGTGATTCAAGTATTGTGAAGCTTTCTGGAGATATTAACTTCATGAGGCACGAGTACCGTCAAAATGAGAAAGCAATTCAAGAGCTCATTTCAGCCCTGGAAAATGTTTCTAAGAATTTGGATATGAAGGTAACTGAAAACAGATGAAACTCTTATACACTGTGTTATTTCCAGAAATAAGAGCAGTCTATGTCTTAGTAAAAAACCCATCAAGTGATGACTGTTTTACGTTATATGTGGCTTTTCTCCCGAAGGGTCCAAATATGTCAACTAATACATAGACACTATGTATATGGTCAGCCAGTAATGAAATCTTTAATAAGGTCCTCCTGTGTTCCAAAATAGTCACATAGTTTGAGTAAATGACCCTTAACCCCATTGATACCATTAGTCTTACTCTCTGGGTTCCGCCCTCAAAGACTGGAGAACCAGGAATTATAAGCAAAAGAATTTCCCATAGACAGTATTATTGAAAGACCAACATAAATGTGAGTTGATCATTTATTTACATCACTGCTTAAAACTCTGTAATAGAGTATGCCAGTTACAAATGAGAAACACATCTCTAGGCCTGGACTTTAAAGGCTACCCATTCCTGGCTCCTAATCATCTCTTCAGTTACATCCCTTTGTTTCCTGCCTTACCCAGCAGTAACTACACTACCTGAAAGGTAGCCCTCCACTCACACCAAGCTATTTACACATCCTCCACCTTGTTGCTGCTTTTTTCTGCCTGAATTATCTTCCTCCCCTTTCTCCTCCACCCAGCCAATGGTTTGAAAGAAATGGAGTCCAGTGCCAGGCCTTCTCTGCCCCACTCCATTCTGTACCCGGCAGAACGCAAACACATCTCTTTGAGACCATTTTGGGCAGCACAAGGCAAAGATCCTTTGGGAACTGGAGGACAAGAAGTTAAGGTGTTGGCTTATTCGGTGTTGGAAACCAGTTTACCGAGAGCAGCAGATGTTACAGGAGAACAGAGTTTACTCCAATGCCATTCGGATTCCCTTGTTCAACTTTCTATTGACTGATCCAGTTAGTCCCAGTATGGGGGCCTGTTTAATCCGTTTCATTTTTCAAGGCACTCAATTGTATTAATGACTAATCAAGACAAGTTTAGGGCTGGCTTCCTAATTGAGAACCTCACCACTTAAAACAAAATTCATAGCCCGGACGCAGAACACTGTTAAATAAAACCTGTCACTGTAGAAGGAGCCCAGTGGTCTACAAGTTGGGCTGCTAACTGGAAGGTCAGCAGTTCAAAGCCACTAGCTGCTCTGGAGGGGAAAGATAGGACTTTTTACCCCCATACAGAGTTACAGCCTCAGGAACTCACCGGGATAATTCTACCTTATCCTCTAGGGTGGCTGAGAGTCAGCATCGACCGGATGGCAGTGGATTGGGTTTGGTTTTATGGTATAGAAGGCAGTCTGTCTAACTTCTGGGTATACTGGGGGGTATCTCTGTTATTAGGGTTGATTGTTGGCGTGATACAAGAATTTTTAATCATATTAAGGAAGCTTCCATTGATTCCTACTTTACTTAATTTTGCAAAGACTTACATAACCAAGTCATGATATTGATTGTGTTTGGGTCTGGCTTCTGTTTGCTGTTTATTTTACTTCTGGTCTTCTGATGTATTCTGCGGACACAGGTCCTATTCCTGAAACATTCTTACATTTCCTCGGTGAGAGTTATACAGTCTCTCAGTCTTCCATTTGCATTTAAATGAAAAGGTGAAATTGGGAGATTGAATTATAGTTCTCTCTCCTGCTTAGTTTTTTGGGTTTTTTTAAACATGATACATCAATCTAATTAGTCACCATTCATCAAATTCTCACAAACCCCTCATATATAATATTTTTTATTATTCTTACGTGAATCTTTTCAAGATGCCTTTATGAAGAAACAAGCAAATATACATATCCTTATTTCTCCCTAAAACTCAAAGCATATACTACACACTTTGCTTTTGTTTTTTAAACAAACCAAATAAATCCTTGAGATATTTGTATATGCACACTCTTCTTCTGTACGATTATACAATAGTTCATTTAGTAAGTCCTTTATGGATGGACATTTCAAATTTTCACTCTTTCAAATGATGCTGAAGTTAATAGCCTTGTGTTTTTGTCACCTTGGGTGTATAGAATATGTGTATGATAAACACAACCAGGTAGCGGGACTGTAGGGTGAAAGGGTACATGCATCTGGTATAATAGATCTTGTCAAATTCCTCTCCATAAAATTTACAAGGCTGAATCCCCACCAGAAAAATGTAAAATGACCTAATTCCCATAGTTTCATCAATGTAGCAATGCTCAACTTTTGGCATTTTGATGGGGGGGGTGGGGGGGGGGGATGGCCTGTGTCATTTTGACCAGCTTTTAAAGAATTATCATTATGAATGAGATTGAGCATCTTTATATATGTTTAAGAAGTCCAATTTGTCCTTTTTTTCTGTGGGCTGCTTCTTTGTGCTGCTGCCCATATTGCATTCCTTTTTCTTGATTTCTGGGAGCTCTTTATAGGTTAGCCCTGGTATCGTCAGGTAAGATTAGACTGCTGACCCCGCCCTGAGTCCGCAAGTCAAGCCATCAGCCTCTGAGAGCGGGAAGGCCCTGGACCAGATGGACTCACGCAGCAGGTGCTGCCACAGGGAGAGCTCAAACAAGAGAATGGGGAGAGGATGGCGCAGGCCGGGTCACTGTGAGTCAGAGGCAACTCACTGCACCTCACAGCAGCCACCACAGCGGCTTCTCTGAAGATGTTTAGCCGCAGAGATATTCTATAGCATCATTATTTGTCAGGATTGCTGCATTGGGAGTGGGTCTGGGCTTTTTCTCTATATGTTTGAGAAATTAGCTGTTTCTCTATCTTATGAGCTCCAGATACATTGCCCCAGTTTTTCATTTTTCTCTTGGAAAATGATGGCTAAATGTCTTAGTCTTCTTTTGTGGGTCTGAGATATTTCAGTCTTAGTGGGAAAGCACTTCCTCATGCAAACACTTAATATCGCTTACATTGTCTTCTAATACTTCCTCAGCTTTATTGTTGACATTGACATCCTTGACCCATTTGGACTTTTCCATCGTATATGATGTCTTATTGTTTATATATTGAGGCTTTCTTCTACCCCGCTACTAGTCCTTGACTCGGTTTTACTTTTTCTACTTTCTCGAAAATAGTCATTTGATTATCTTTCCTTTGACCTTCAATTTTACCACTTTGTGTTTTTATATATTTGTATTTTTATTTTTTATTCTGGCTTTTCTAAAGTGATCCAGTTTTATTATGTCTTTGTTCCTTCTTAGATTCTGCTATCTAATTTTCTATTCTGCTATCACTAATTTTAGCCTTTCTTTTTATTCATTTTTTGCTTCTTGCGGTTTTTGTTGTTATTTTTCCAACTTCTTGAACCACATTTACTTACATTCTTTCTTTTTCCTGAAACACACACCGATTGACTATCCCTGAAAGCATTCTTTATTCCAGTAGCCCTAAGACTTGATATGCAGTGTTCTACCTTTGCGGTGGAGAGTTTTACCTTTGATTGAATCGCTCAGCCTTTTTATCACTGTCGTTGTTGGTTTCCTCAGTGACGAGCACTTTATGTTTTTCACGCTAACATTCATGTTTGGGTGTATCTCTTAATGAAATTTTCTTGTCTGTACTAATTTTAATATTCGGAATACTTGAAAGGACTTTTTTTGGTGATCTAGTATATCCATTTTTTATAAATGTTTTAAATGAAAGTAAATTTTCTATTTGGGGTCTCTGCATAAGAAATAGCCAATTCATTAGGGTTTCTGTATCCTTATTTAATATTTGGTCTACCCTTTTGCTTTGGATTGAGAGGAATGAATTAAAGTCTCCTACAGTTCTTGAGAAAGGAGCCCCACTGGAGCGGTGACTATGCCTGGGGATGCTCCCTGCAAGGCAACGGTGGAAAGCACCAGGCACTCTGAGAGAAGGCGAGGCTTTCTGCTCCGGTGAAGAGTTGCAGTCTTGGTAGCCCACAGGGGCAATTCCACCCTGTCCCAGAGGGTCATTAGGAGCTGAGTTCGCTCAATGATAGTGCATTTCGAGTTTTACAGTTATTGAAAGGAGCCCTGGGAGTTCACCGGGTTAAGCATTAAAACTCACCAGCCACTCAGACAGAAAGATGAGGCCATCTGGTCCCATAAAGATGTATTGCCTTGACCACCCTGCAGGGCAGTTCTACACTATCGTTTGGACTCATTCTGCACAGAGTAGGAACTGACCCAACAGCAGCCCAGGGGCTTGGGCGGGGAGCGTTGTAATTATTAAGCTTCAATTTAACTCACAATTTCAGCTTCATGATTTTTTTTTTGCTAACTTATTTGCTTTGTTGATTTCATAACCATCTTTTCTCAGTCCTAATTTTAATTACTTATCTTTTAACTGTTTTATGAGTATATAATTCATGTACGATACAATCAATCTAATGGTTTAAATATATTTAAAATAATTGTGCAATCATCACCACAATTGATTTTAGAACATTTCTTCATTCTTGTACTTTTTATTAGCTTGCCATTTCTTCCCACCAACCTCCCCTGCAACAATTCTAAGTAACAATTCATCTAGTGACCATCTAATTGTTGATGTTTTTGCCTTTTCATATTTAGCATAGGACAAAGCCTAGGATTTACATGTAAATTTTATTTCTAATTCCCAAAACATACATGTATTGGTTTTCTACTGCTGCCCAAACAACCACAAACTGGCTCACAACAACACAAATTATTTATCTCGCAGTTTTGGTGGGGCACACTGGGTCCCCTGCTTAGTACCTGACAAAGTTATAATCAAGGTTTGGCTGGGCTGCATTCCTTCCAAAAAACTGGAAATTCATCTCCTTTGAAGTCCTTTAGGTTGTTGGCCAAATTCAGTGTCTTGTCAGCGCTGTGTTCCTTGCTAGCTGTCAACTGGGATCCATTCTGCACTCCCAGCAGCTGCCTACACTTAACGTCCTATTTTCCATGTGGCTGCTCCCCAGCCACGGGCAAGTGAAGACTCTCATGCTTCACATCTCTCTGGCTTCAACTCCGGCTTCTCTCTGCCTGCAGTTGAAGAATGTTATCTGCTTGCTGGGGTGCCTGTGAGGAGCTCTGGTGTCACTGTGGATTAGGCATTAGGCTGCTGACCACGAGGTTGGTGGTTCAAATACACCGGCCACTCCAAGGGAAAAAGATGAGTCACAGTCTCAGAAACCCTCAGGAGCAGTCCTACTCTGCCTTCTAGGGTCACTAGCAGTCAGAATCTACACATTGGCAGTGGGTGGGTATGATCGGATGGGGCCTATTTAGATAATCCAAGATAAAACTACCCAGATCTTAAGGGCTGTTCGTTACATCTGCAAAGTCTCTCTTGCCAAGTAACATGATATTGGCTGCGAGGCATTCTCCTAGGGCCTACCTACCTAACACAGATGATTTCTTCATTCCACTTTCATTCATTCAAGTCTGAGACTCCTTTTTGTGATATGAAGTTTGTACATTTTCATTCTCTCCTTTGTAGTTATAAAAATGTCTCACAACGATAAATTTGTGTTCTTTTGATCTGCAACATATCATTGCTTCCCAGGTAAATTGGACAGTGTTGATTTACTTGTTGACACGAATACTAGCCCAGATCCTTTGGAAAGCAAATGCCAAAATAGCATCAGATGTGCAAGAAATTTATAGAGGGGAAAACCTGTGAGGGAAAAATGAGAAGGGGGCTAAGGAGAGCCTTCAGACCACAATAGAGGCCTTACTCCTGTGATAAAAGTTAGTTTTTATCAGAGCGACCCAATGGGACAGGGTAGACCTTCACCTGTGAGTTTCTGAGACTGTGGATGGCAGTGAGAGGCTACCTTGAGAAAGTTACAAATTGCTTGACCAATCGGAGGAGTATGACTCAGATCTAGAATGAGAACTGCAGCCTATGGGAAGCCTAGTGTCAGCGTGGCGGGGAGGACCCGTTATGTTCCCCACTCCAGGAAATCTGGCGATGCATCTCCGTGTTTACAACACTAGAATCAAGAATGACTTTTTTATGGTTTTTACTCAAGAGCTTGGATTTTTGTTTCTTTATATTTTTCTGATTAATTTGTAGCCTTTGTGCAATAATTCTGCATCTCTTTTTGTAAAGATCTTTTTTTATTTCCTTCTTCATTTTACCTAAAGGAAATTCCTCCAGGTTTCTGGCAACATGGAAGGTACTTCCAGCCTCATTTTTAGGACTGGAACTTATCTTTGCCAAGCTTTATATGCCCTGATTATTTTCATTTGGGATTCCTTTGTGCTCATGTCTGAATCCCACCTGGAAACCTCCGAGCACTAACCCTGGGTGTTTTCCTCCACTCCTACTTGTGTTTGTATTTGTTGTATTCCATTTGCTGTGTTCACTGAGTGTTATACACTGAGGCTAAAGGAGTGAACGAGAACGTTTGCATTGTACCTGGGGAGACTGAAAGTAAAGTCATAGTCAAGTTAACAACTTAATAAACACATGAATGCTATTCACATGTGTCTGGACATCACTAGATGCCTTCTTATCAAAAGAAGTATTTCAGACAACAGAACGGAACATCCCCCATTAGTCTTCTGTAGAAATAGTTCAATAAATATTGAATCATACCCATTTGAAGAGCATCTTTTCAATTGCAAACTTGCTTTAAGTTCAAGTCTGTTTCCTGGCCCCATTAGGCATCAAGTATAATTAACGTAAGTGCTCGTGGTATTGTTCACACACGCAAAACAGCTCCCTCTTATGCTTCCATCAGGTACTGCAGCTCTTGGGAAAGATAGAGGCTTCCAGTTCTGAGCAAACCTCAAATTTAAAGATGATCCAGGGGGATTATCACCACGAAATGAACCTTTTGGAATTCAAGTAAGTGACTAGAAGATTTTTAATTCTGTTAAATGCCTTCCAAAGCCTTTTGCCTAATGAAAGTACTGGCATGAATTGTCTATACTAAAGTAGTGTATACATTACTCATAATAAAAGAAGAAATGTGAGTGGTAACGTTTTTGTTGTGTTTTGTTTTGGTGATTGTTGTTGCCTCATAATAGCTCGACCGAATTGGTATGTTCATTCTGATTCTTCCACCTGAATAATCTTCATTTATCAGTAACTATCTGCTCAAATGCCGGAATATAAAGCATTGCTGAAAATAAATGTAACCCCTAAGATGATCAAATCACACACACAAAATAAATCATTTCAATCTATAAGCTTTCCTTTAAGATTTTTTGTTTTTTCAAAGATTCGCCACTGATCCCATGGTCTCTTTTAAGACTGTGGACCCTAGCCCTTCTCAGATACACCCCTGCTCCATAGAGAAAGCAGTAAAGGAAAGAAGGCTCCACAAATACTCAATTCATTGGCCACCTCCTTCTCGAGCCCCTTCCTTCTCCTGTTTAATCGGCCCCCATTTTCCAGGCTCATGAAGAAGGAAAAGGGAAATGGATGATATTTTCTTACTGCCCGCTTCTGCCTCTGTTCTCCATCCTCGCTGTTCCCCATCTTGGTCAAATCCAGTGTTTTGCTAATGTTCTACTTGCTTTCTTTCCCCCTCTGCCATATTTCGTTAACGAAGTGCAATTGGTGGTAAGGCACACCATTATTTTTCTGTATCTCTAAGGACTCTCCTGTGAGCCATAGTGGTGTCGTGGTCAGCCGTTGGAAACCACCAGCCCCTCTGTGGGAGAAAGATGAAGCTTTCTACTCCCATAAATAGTTACGGTTTCAGAAACCCACATGGGCGGTTCTGCCCTGTTCTTAAACCCTAGCATAATGAAGTTAATCAGCTAATACTTGGGTGGTACTTGATCTACTTATTTGTACTTGGAATTAAGGTAAAGAAAAATATCAATTGAAGAAGTAGGGGAAAATGGTTTCTAGACATACAAGTTAACAATTACCCTCGTGGCATAGTGGTTATGACTTGCACTGCTAGTTCAAAACCACCAGCCGCTGGGCAAGAGAAAGACTAGGCTCTCTAATTTGGTGGAGTTGCAGTCTCAGAAACCCACAGAGGGGCCATTCTACCCTGCCCTTAGGGTCCTTTACGCATTCCAATCAACTCAACGGCCGTGGATTGGGTTTGGTTTTTGTAGGGAAGGGACAGAAATTATATGCCCACATGGGACATTTTTAAGGGAACATTTTTTTTATTTAGAGCTGAATGTTTCACTAATGATGTTACTTACTTTTCCCATCTTTGATGCTGTGGGAAATTGAAAGCAGCAGTCACCAAAATAGCTAAATTTGAATCTGGATACTTTTGTTAAAAATGAATTTTTTATTCACTTTAAGTAAGGAAGCCCAAAGTTTCATTAGTATTACAGTAGGGAACCACGAATTTATAAACCAGATTTTTACCAGGAAAATAATTATGAGCTCTAATAATTCAATTATATGATTGACTATTTTATAGTTAAATTTTCACCATCAATTTTTTTTAAAAAATAATATTTAGTTATTACAACCAACCAATAAAAAAACAAAAAAGGTGAAAAAGAAATACTTAACCAGATAGCTAGCCAGGGATGTAGTCTTCCATATTTTTGTCTTTGTTTATATAATTAAATATATAACAGACAAAAAGATGTCATACAATGAACTTCAAGAAGTTCATGGAAAAGTTGAATGAAAATATGCTGAAACTTTTCCATGAGTTTTCTAAAACTCCTTTATATATGTATGTGCGTATGTTGGTATATGCACAGATTTTACATACATTACACATGAGAAGATATTATGGGGTTTGAAAATAAATTCTGCATCATTATTCAATTATTTGCTTTTTGCAGATATTTCTCCAGATCAGTGAATATTATCCTAACATTATTTTAATGACTCCATAATATTCTAAATAGATATGCCATAATTAATTCAACTCTGTATCTTTTGTGGAATAGCTTATTTCCAGTTTATGAACAGCACAATTAATATTTTACTAATAACTCTTGTGTATTTGTCCCTAGGTATTCTTAGATACTGTTTTATTTCTGTAGAGAAGATTTCTGGGTTAAAGAAGATATCTACTTGTCAATTTTTATAAATAATTTCTAGAAGTGTAGTAACTTACCCTCACAAGAAATGTAGGCCTTTCTCTATATTCTTGCCAGCAATGAGCTTCTCTTTTATACCAAAACCCAAATCAAACCCATGGCTACTGAGTGGATTCTGACTTAAATGGACCCTATAGGACCAAGTAGAATTGCTCCTTAAAGTTTCTGAGACTGCACATCTTTTTTATTATTGTTAATCATTTCAATGGGAGGCCCTTACAATTCTTAGAACAATCCACCATTCAATTGTATTAAGCACACTTGTACATATGTTGCCATCAACATTTCCAAAACATTTTCTTTCTACTTGAGCCTTTGGTATCAGCTCCTCTTTCCCCACCTTCCCCCCCACCCCCCGTGAATCTTGGTCAATTATGTGTTATTGCTGTTATTTCATGTCTTACACTGTCCATTGAGACTGCACATCTTTAAAGGTGTATACAACCTTATGTTTCTCCTTCCTGGACGCTGCGGGATCTGAACCAACACCCTGGTAGTGAGTAGGCCAACGTTTATTCCATTGTGCCAATACAATGCCTTCCCCTTTTAATGAAAAAGAACATTTCTGATATGCAGTTGTATTCCCTTCCTCATTTGAATTCTTTTTCTGTTAATTGCCTGTTTGTCAAACGTCACACTGGGATTTTTTTTTTAACATTTTCATATAAATTTGTGAGATTCCTTGCCATTAGAAATATTAGCCTTTGGGCTAAGATATATATTGAAAACTGCTTGACTCAAAAAGTAAAGGAGTCAGAGCTCTTTCTCTTTCAGTCAGAGCAGTCTGGTTTTGTTTGTTTGCTTTAAAGACACTTTCATTGGTGGCTCTTACAGCTCTTATAACAATCCGCACATCAATTGTATCAAGCATATTTGTACATATATGGCCATCGTTATTTTCGAAATATTTACTTTCCATTTGAGCCCTTGGTATCAGCTCCTCTTTTTTCCCTCCCCAGTCACTCCTCCCACCCTCGTGACCCCTTGATAAATTATAAATTACTATTATTTTCATATCTTACACCGACTACTGTCTCTCTTCCCCATGGTTTCTGTTGTTTGTCCCCCTGGGGTTGGTGGGGGTGGTTATGTGCCCATCTTTGCGATCTGCTCCCACTTTCTCCCCTTCTCTCTCCCCCTTCCCCCTACCCTCTTGGTATCGCTACTCCCATTTCTGTTTCTGAGGTTTTTATCTGACCTGGGTTCTGTGTGCTGTGAGCTCTTATCTCCACCAGTGTACATGCTCCAGTCTACCCCCCAGTGAAAGGCAGGACTGGGGTCATGATAGTGGCGGGTGAGGAAGCCTCAAGGAACCAGAGGAATACTGTATGTTTCATCGGTGCTATACTGCACCCTGTTTTTATCTGGTATATTGGATTCCAGCTTCGGGCAAGATGGCCTTCAAACAATAATTAGACAAAAAACTTCCATAACTCCACTAAATTGTACAGATACCATTGCTAATGTTAGGATATTGTGGTACATCGAGATTTTTTTCAAAGGACAGATGGGAAATAGATTTTTTTTTACTTTTTCTTTTTAAAGAAAGGACCGTCTTACAGTAAAGGATTAACTTTTAAATAAAAGCACTCAATAGCATTAAAAGGTAAGTTTAACTGAGAACTGTTTGCCTTTAGAGACTTTTACACATTTGAATTGAATGTTCTGCTAAACTGACCTTTTATATTGAATGTACAAGACACAGTTTTCTAGTGGATTCCTGGGATTTGGGGATTGATCAATGGACCTGACTGATACAGGAGCCCCCGCCCCCCTGTCCTCTGAGTCCCTCCTTTCAGCCTCCTCCTTCCAAAAGGGGCTTACTCGGATGTTGAACTAATGAGTGTCCGAAGCCTGCCAAATCAGTGCTCATATAGCAAGAGTCTTGGCCACAGATGTGACAGAAGAAGCTCCTGTCAGTCACTCCCCGGATCTAGTCAACAGTGATTTATTTACAAGAAAAGAACGAATATTTGAAGGAATGAAATGTTCACTCACTGCATAGACTTTTCAGTTTGATAGTGCCTGATTAAATTTACCCAAACCCACAGCTGACGCGGCAATTCCAACTCCTCATGCCCCACAGGACAGAGCAGAACTGCGGCAGGTGCTGCCATTCGGCAAGGACCCAGACTGGCTCGTCTTGCTCTCACACCATGCCTGCGGGGTGATCTGTCAACTTTTCCAGGCAGCAGTCAAGTGCTTTAACTTAATGCATCATTCAGTCTCCTTAGAACACGATTAAGCCCTTTTAATCATTGTAGCAACATCTGCTCTTATTTTTTTTAATCCTTTGTCCTCTGTTATTTCACCCACCTATGTTCCCTGGGTGGTGCAAATTGTTAAGCTCCCAGCTACTGCTACAGAGTGAAATTGTGCACTCCACCCCCCAAAATAGGTGTCAACATGGCTGGGTCATGATTCTCAGTAGTAGATCCTTTTGTGATCTTATGTACTTATTAACCATTTGGGGATCTGGTGTCATAAGTCAGTTTGTAAATCCTAACCGTTATGATGTCATGAGACCCGATACAACCTACAGGATTAGGTTGTATTTTGAGTCCATCTCTTTTGGAATGTAGAAGGATGAGCAGAGATCAGAAGGACTGGACTATTGTCCAGAAAGAAGAGCCAGAAGCAGACCCCATCCAGTGGATCCAGGATCCCTGTCCCTCCTTGGTCCAGGGAATGATTGATCCCAACACACATGGAGAGCTTCGAGAATCACCAGGCCTCTGGATGCTGGAAGGCAGCCAGGACCTTCCTCCAGAATCCACAGACAGAGAAAGCCTTCCGTCAGAGCCAATGATCTGAATTCAGATTTCTAGCCTCCTACTCTGGCGGAAAGAACCCTTGTGGGGCCCTGGGTTGGGAAATGAGCCACGAACTGCAAGGCTGGCAGTTCAGACTCACCAGTGGATCCCCAAGGCAAAGATGAGGTTGCCTGCTTCCGTACAAGATGGGCAGTGCTGGAAACCCTATCATCAGGATCATGATGAGTCAGAAATGGCTCAAAATCAGTGGGTTTTAAACTGCACCAGAGTTCATTTCTGCTTGCTAAAGCCCAGCACTGTGACAGTGGCCCTACACAGTTAAGACAGCTAGAACAAAGGGGTGGAAGCTCACCCAGAGGAACCTCAGATGGAAAGCTTGGTGATCGGCTTCTGAAATATCCGCCGTCGAAAGCCCTGTGAAGCACAGTTCGACTCTGACACCCTTGGGGTCGCCATGAGTCAAAATGGGTTTGTTGGCAGCTGGGAAACGGTAGCGTATAATTCTGCTGCCCTTCGTCCCCTCACGAACCTCTGCCCATTGTGTCTGATGGTGTCCCACACTACAATGACCTGACCCTTCTCTAAATCCTTCTTCGCCCCAGACACACACGTCAAAGAATCCACGCACACTGCTCCATGGGTGACAGTGAGAGAACCTGGATGCTCTACTTTCCCAAAGTTCTTATTAGGGTGCTCGCCCTCTCTCTCTGGCCCCCTCAAACTTTTCCCCTCTCTAGTAGATAATGCTGGTCCTCAGGCCCCACACCTCCCCGAGCCTCACAGGGGCCGTTGTGGAATAAGGCTGGCAACCCGGCCCACAGCTTATCTTTATACGACCCACAGCTAAGAATGGCTCTTACATTTTCAAATAATGTAATATGTATCTATAGGTGTGTATATGTAGGTCTACATATGTATACATGCACACATGAGCTATTCTAGTATTTCATACACACGAATACGTCATGGCACGTGAAAATGATATGAAATGTAGATTTCAATGTTCGTAAACAGAGTTTGCCGATAGCATGTCCATGCTCGTTCGTTCACAGATTGTCTGTGACCGCTTTTCCACAGCAACGGCAGAGTTGAGACGTGGCAACAGACAACGAAGCGCACAAAGCTACTGGCTCTTTACAGAAAAGGTGTGCCAACTGTACTCCCCACAGTACACCCCGCCCACGTGACTTACCCGAGCCCGTCGTTCAAGGGCACCGAATTCATGGAGGCCCTGCGAGGAATTCCACAAGGCGTCCCAGGCAGGGCCCGCTAGCCGTGGCCGTGCTCTTGGTTATTGCACGTAGAGGCTGTATACGACGAGAGGTGGGGTCAGCCACCAGATGGAATACAAGCTCAGGCCAGGGTCTCACAGTGCACTTCCATTGGCTTTCCCATCTCCCGCCAGTGCTTCCCAGGGGCAACCCTATAGGGCAGAGAATGGCTCATAGGGTTTCCAAGGCTGTAAATCTTTATGAAAGACATGACAGTGGCTGGTGGGTTTGAACCATTGACCTCTCTGTTAATGAGCAAGTGCTTCACCGCTGCAAAATCAGGGCTCAGTCCACTTCCCACCACGCTTAAATCCAAACCATTGACTCTCTTCCAACCCCTGGTGACCCAGTAGGACAGAGGAGAGATGTTCTGTAGGGTTTCTGAGACTAGAAATCTTTTCAGAAGTAGATAGCCTCACCTTTCTTCAGTGGAGCTGCTGCTGGTTTTGAACCACTGACCTTGCATCAACAGCCCAACACGTAACCCAGGGCACCACCACTTCTCTTCTGTCTCACACAGAATCTGATAAGCACTCGACTCAGGACACTGAGCCAAATCACCTGAAAAACCAGCAGAGATTTTCAACACACTAAATTTGGGGTGTTTTTTGTTTGCTGACTTTCACTTATTTAAAATGGAACAAAATTATATTTTCCCCTCTTAGATTTAATTCAGTTTCAAATAATCTCTATGAAGAAATTGAAAACAATAAAAAATGGACAGAGAGCCAGCTGGTCATCTATGAAAAAGATAACCTCGGCTATATCAATCAATGTTGGAAGCTCTTACAGGATAAACTGGTAAGAAGTTCTGTTACTTGATGTAGTAAAACGTCATTGTACTCATTCGCTAAGGCTGCCACAACCAAGTACCATAATCGGTTTCTGACCCTTAGAGACCGGACCGGACAGAATAGATCTTGATGGGAGCAGACAGCCTCATCTTCCTCCCTCTGATTTGTTGGTGGGTTGGCACCATTGACCTTGTGCCAGCAGCTCAATGTATAGCCCACTAGGACACCAGGGTGTATGGTGGGGGTGCCGTGATACTTGAGCACAGCTATGTTTCTTCAGCTAAACCACTGATCCTTTCTAACTGGAGCTCATTAGTAGATCAAATATGATCATTCTGGTACCTGAGGGGAGAGACTTCCTGAAGCAGCCCAGTAAGGAGTGCCCTCAGCCTCCTGCCTGAATTTTTTTTTTCTTTTTTAACATTTTATTAGGGGCTCATACAACTGTTATCCCAATCCATACACACATCAATTGTGTAAAGCGCATTTGTACATCG